CGATACTATTATGTTACTCATCTATTCAAGATCAATCAATACATTCATTGCTTGCAATACTTTCTACCCATTCAACCATTAATTCATATGTTCATTCCTTTAATATGTCGACCTATGGCGGTGGTACCCTTTCGGACTACTACCCCATATATATATATTAAAAGACTGAACCGAACCTTCGAAGATCCGAACTCATGAAGTCAAGATTAGTTCGCGACTAATACTTGACGATACCTAATTCAAATAATTACTTGACGAAATCAATTATGAAATTAACTTGACGATACCGCAGTACTTGACGATACTAAGTCAAGACACCAAGTAGACACAACCGATCAGGTGTGCGATAGACACAACTGATACGTTTCACATTTTATTTTTGACAAGTTAGAAATTTTGTTCTCTCAACTCTTCTTTAATATAGAAGTGATTTGTGAATTCCTTTTCTCACAACAAATGCCAAGCGAGTCAAGATCAATTCGAAGTTCTCCTGCCAGCGACCCTTCTCCAGTTCGAAGGCACCACTACACTACTGCCACCACTACAGATGAAGAGCTGAAGTCACTGCTGAAGGCTTCCAATACACTACAGCAGAAGATCGCTGTGCTGCTTCAAGCGAAGAATGAAGATCGCCAAGGACCGAAGATTATGCCCGAACGAGGCCTGAAGATTAGACCTGACGATAATGATTCTGATAACTCTTCCTCGGATGACGACGACAAGTCAGACTCGGATGACTCCCTCAAGAGCGATGAGTCAAGTAGTTCAAGTCATTCAAGTAGAAGATCAAGTGTGGCAAGATCGCCACGTACATCCAGACACTCAAGAACCCAAAGTCATGATGACCATCATGTTACTAGAAGGCTAATCAAGGAACTAAACATAAAAGAATCCTTCTATCCAAGACATGAGAAGGCATATGACGATCAGCTCGACCTTCTTGAACGTCTGACGAGGGCAAAAGGATTCGATGTCAATAGACTCTCCCAAGTGATCATGAGTGTTGCCGATGACAACGTGTTGTATCGGATCAACAAGAAGAAGATCTATGGAGTCAAAGAATGGCAAGCGTTCAGAGATCAGCTAGCAAAAGAGTTATACCCGTATAGCAACGAGATTGACGTTGTGGCGCAAGACTTGAGTGAAGTTGAAGAACGCGAAGATGCCGAAGATTTAGTAATATGGTTCGAGAAAACCGTACAACGGTACCATATGCTAAGAAGACGTTGGAAGCATCCCAATGCTTTCCATTCCCATCAGCTGAAACAAGCTCTATTGAATAAACTATGCCCTGCGTTACAGGCTGAGGCTATGA